GAGAGAGAGAGAGAGAGAGAGAGAGAGAGAGAGCATTTTGGTCTAAATTAATGGCTAAAATGAGTGTTAGGTTTAAGTCAAGGACAGAATTGTGCATTTTTGTAATGTATTGTAAGTCTATTTTTTATATCACATACACACCGGTCGGTTGTCAAGAGTTGATAGTTATTGTTGGTTATCAGTTATGTGGTTATTGGGTCAACAAATGTTATGCATAAACAATTCAAATGCTATTTCTAACCACCAATTATTGATTGTGCTTTCAGTGCAAACCCTTCAGATATTTCTCGCATTGTGTGTCAATCTTAATAAACAGGCAATTATTTGTTTCACGTCTACAATCAAATTCACTATTAAACAATCAAATTCATTATGCATTCTCACTAACATCTTTAAAATGTCAGCTTTTACCACGTTTTCACAACCACTATAAGTTCTTTTGCCACAAATTCCTATAAATAAGTCTATAAATTGAAAGCAAATATAGGGATAAAATCGATTAGAGAAATAAAAGCCCAAACACTAAACACAAAGAAAATCCTTTTTTCTCGTATTAAATGTTATGTTTAGAAAAAGAGAATTTAATTAATTAACTCACAATCAAATGATTGAACCAAAAAACCTCATTTCAATTCCGATGAAAATTAGTTTTTTCCGCTTTTTTGTGAACCAATAAATAATTCAACGCTTTATTATTGTATATAAAGCTATGAATAGATTATTTATTTCGTTCCCTTAATAACTGTTTTAAATCCAATTCTGTTTTTCTGTGAATATCAGTTCACTTCTAGTAAAAACTTTTATAAAGCCTTGTATTCCGGTATTCCTTGTGTGCTATTGTTTGTAAGCAAACGGACAACACTTTTATGTATTTATATTTTTATTAAAGATTTTGTCTTTCAAAATATTACTTATATTTTTATTAAAATCCTTTTATTCTCAAGTAATACAGTTTGGTTTCAATCAAACGGGCGCTTCACTCATCAACACTATAAATACACATAAAAACACTTACAAAACAAATAATATTGTGTATTATTTACACATTTATTCTACATTTTTATATTTGCTTTTTTAAAAACCAGTTCCCTTTTCTAAATCAATAAAAATGAAATTATATTTTGAAATATGTGTAAACATTTTTGTGTTAAACTTTGTAAAAATAGTTTATTCTGTATGCATAAGAATAATAAAGTAATTTTTCAAATGTTTTTCAAAGTTAAACACATGAGTATTAAAATAATAATATGGTATACGAGTGGCAAAACATCTATTTAGTGAATGACATCTCTATTATCTTATTTTACTCGCAAATGTATTAAGTGTTGAATGTGTGGCAAATTTATCTTTACTTATTGGCATCACTAGTGATGAACTGAAAGGAAATTTTCACGTCAATAAATTATCAATATTTATTTACAGAATAATCAATATTTTTAATTATTGTAATTTAAAAGCAAAATGTGAAAAATATTCACCATTTTTATGTTTAACAAATCCTTTTAACGGAATCTTTATAATAAATAAAATTTCTATATTAAATAACGTTTCACAATGCATTCAATGTATATATGAATACCAAAACACAGAATTTATAGCTCACATACAGTATATAACTGCAAATTTAAAGGTTAGAGCGTTATATAAAATTATGAATTATTAAAATGTTTTGGTTTATAATTACAATAATTTTATTGCCCATAGAGTACAACACAATCACTCAATTCTGTCGGTGCTATGAGTCCAATGAGGCACTCGTTTAGCGATGAATGCATTGATGCCTTCCTGACCATCGGTGAGACACAAATTCTCTACCATTACTCGCGAGCCATTGCTTTACATTAAATCATAAATCAAATTATAAATTACTTTATGGTAAAATAAATTGGCATTTAATTATTAATTTAATAAAGTAAAAGTTGAAAGCAATAAAAGGTCAAAATGAATGCATACTTATAAGCGGTTTCCAAATTCTGATTGATTTGTGAATAAAAGAATTGTTTGCCTAAAGCTATGACTGCTTTGCTTTTGCTTAGTATCGCATTCACAACATTTTCGGTCTGTATTAACAAAATTGATTATATTTTCAAAAATACTAATCATATATTGAATAAAATATGTATTTTATTCTTACCTCAGTTTTGAGCTCCTGTTCACTGACGACACGCGAAACTAAACCACTTCGAAGAGCCTCTAAATATTCAACAAAACATTTTATTTGTCTTCATTTCTTATATTAAATTCTCCATTCAATCATCAATTTTATGACAAAATAAACTTTTTATTAAATCTTATATTACAGGAGATGTGGAAATATACTCATCTCAACAATATTTACAAAAATAATTTGCATTTTATTGAATAACATAACTAACAGCATATTCTAACGGTTTGCACATTCTGTATACCAATCAAAACATATTTAACGTCATTCACATTCAGTGTAATTATATTTTCACTGAATTATACATTTTTTAAAAATTCTGATTAAACTTCAATTTATTTAATAAACTTCTAGACTGTATATAAATTTTTAAATATTTAAATTTTTATATTTATTATAACAAGGATGAATTATAGAAAAATACCTTTCATTCAATGCAAACAATTGATTATTTTGAACACATCTAACACTTTATACAAATAATACTCAAACTATTTGCAGATATAAGTCGAGAACAAATACAACGAATAAACTTAACATTAGTTATGATATAACGGCTTAAATAAGGGAAAGGAATTGGAAGGAAATAAAATGATATAAAAGTATGGATACATTTTTTTAAACGCTTACCGTTAGCTGTAATGTGATTACCAGTCAAAAGCATAAATGCAGCCGTTTTTCGATGAACACAACGGGAGAGAGGTATCGATGGTGTCGAACAAAATAGACCCACATTTGCACCTCAAATATATAATTATTTTATATTTTCTATATACAGTATATGTAGTGTAAATTCCTGTAGATTTATATTAACACATAGTGTACCCAAAATTTTGTGTATAATGTATTAAAGAAAAACGAGAATGTTTTTATTCTAACAATTTTTGTCTACAATATATCATTACTTTAAACACAAGAAAATGAAATTTATTATTATTTTTGTAATAAATTGTATTTTTAAAAGTTTCAAAACAATGTTACAAATCTTAAAATTATATTTGAATATACGATACAAAACTAAAATAATACAAATATAGCACTCAAATGACATTTTGCTTATAAACTAAAGATTTATAACCAACTATTCGGAGCAAACTTTCCATTAAGAAAACTACTTAAATCTCTTTAGTTTTTCATTTAATTCTTTTAGTAAAAGAAAAGCAAAATAATCACTAAATTTATAAATAATTTCAAATGACTTTGGGATGAGCCCTATATTTGTTGAATAATGTGATAAATACCTGGAGTACTGAATGTACTGCAATCACTCGCCACTGCAATATCACAAGAGGCCACTAATTGACATCCGGCCGCAGCCGCCAAACCTTTAATTAATCATTTCTATAATTAATCTCATTTGCATTTAATCGGAAATTAATTAAATGAATAAATGTGCCTGCTTAATACCGTATAATAGACATACATGTATAACTAATCTTAATCTTTTTAGCTTAACATTAAATATAAATACAAAAACATCTATTAAATAATCGTAAATCTGAATATTAAAATCATGTTAATTTATGGTTTTTCTAATTCCAGCTTAAATAAATAATATAAAGCTACTCTACTTATCATGTATTTTCACTGCATTTGTGCTAACGAACATTCGGTTATACTGTATAACAAGCAAAATATGCAAACATTTTTATAGTTGATGTAATAGTTTCTCTCATTTAAAAGAAAAATCGTTAATTAATATTAAATTTAATATAAATTTAACTGTGAATACCATTGACTTCACAAATAACTGGGACTTCAAGCTTTTGAATGGATAGCATTA